GCCCCCTCCCCTCCAGCCCAGGGGGGCCGGGGGCCGAGGGTCACCTCTCCTTCGGTTGGGATGCAGGCTAGTGGGGGGGTGAAGAAGGGCTTGCGGGGGGGGGAGGGGACAGAGAGCTGGGACACGGCCCCAGGGAGGGCAGGAGGGAGGGAGAGCCCCGGACCCCGGGAGAGGCTGGCATGGGACATGCGGGCGGGGGGCACGGGGACGGGGCAGAACCGGGCTTGGGTTCACCCGCCGTCGGATCCGAGAAAGGTCTAAGATAGAAAAAAGAGAGAAGCTGTGAGTGGGGCCAAGAGCTGCCCCAGGGTGTCCCCGCGGCCCCCCATCACAGTGAGCTACGGCCGCGCCGTCCAGTCCGGGTAGAAAAGCGGAGGCTGCGGTCACAGCCGGGTCTGCGCCTCGGGGATGTAGATCTCGATGCTGTCCGCGCTCTCGGTGGCCGAGCTCTGGCGGAAGGAGGCCGCTCGCTTGGCTGCCAGGAGCCTCTTGCGGGCCTCCTGCCGCTGCCGGTCCACCGAGTCCAGGGAGCGCTCCTTCACCGGGTGCACCTTGGAGCGCGGCGGCTTCTTTGGTATCGGGGGAGGCACCTTCTTCTCCTCCTGCACAGACAACGGGGGATTCAGGGCAGGACCGGTGGGCTTGGCACAGCCAAGGCGCTGCCACAGGTGCCAAAGCCCCGGTGAGATGGCCCCGTGCCCCTCCTGCACCGCACCAAGTCACAAGGCAGGGCTGTGCATCCCTCTGTCCGTCTGCGTGGGCATGAAGATGCCCATGGCATGCTGCCCATGCCACGCCGAGACCCTGCCTGGCCCTTTGCAGGCAGTGCTGCCCAAAAATGCCAGCCATGAGCCCACGGTGAGTGAACAGCCCCTTCTTTAGCCTCATTTTTTTTCCATCTCTGTTTTTCAAGTGTTTGCCTAAAGCAGTCACCAGCAACAGCCCAGCGGTGGCGATTTGGGTGCAGATGTGCTTGGGGAGGAAGAGGGAGGTGACAGGGGACAAGTGCCAGCAGCAGAGCCCTGTCCTTACCTTGGGCTCCACGATCTTCCACCCGTTGGCCTTGAGCTGCTGGAGCTCCCCGAACTTCATGCTGACGTCCTCAATGGAGAGCTGCAGGAGGTCCCAGAAGCCGGCCAGGTCTTGGAAGGTGGGCACGGGGAATGCGTTTGGATCCTGTGGGCACAGAGGCATGGAGTGGCATCCCCACGGGACATCAGCTCTGCTGCCCAGCTCTCCCCCGTGGTGTTACAAAGTCCCTTTTCCCCCGGTACAAGCCTCCCCCCGGCCACCATGGCCAACCCCCCGGCCCCTCTGCCCAGCACTCACCATGTTCTGCTGGCAGAGGCGGTAAAACTGCTGCACCTTCTGGGACATGAGGAGCTGGGCACTGCCCACGGCGCTCCGGATCTTCTCCAGGACTGGTGGGGGGAAGAGCAGACAGTCAGTGCTCCCGCGGGGCACAGAGCCTGTCCCACAGGGACCTGCACCCCCTTGGGGGCAGCAGGACAGCTCAGGCATCTCAGACTCCCCCAACCCATGTGGCATCTCTTCCCTCCCCCAGACCCCACTAGTCCCAGAGGGTTTCCCAGTGTTTCTTGTCCCCCACCCACCCTCTTCAGCCTTGGCAGATGAGATGCTCCAAGGTGGGAGCACTGCAGGACCACGGCTGTGCCCCCCCCAGCTCTAGAGGAGCCCCAGTCCTTCCAGACCCTGTAAACCCCCGGTTTCTGCTGCTCTGCTCCGTCCCACCAGCCGGAACACAGCGCTGCTCACGTGTAGTTTCTGGTTTATTCCTCAGGTTATATTTATATATGTATAGAGGGGAAGGAGCCCTGGGTCCCCCCTGTGGCACCCAAGCCGGAGGCAGGAGGGGGCATCGCACGGGAGCCCCTTGTCCCCTCCATGTCCCAAGGCTGGGGAGTGGGGCTGGGGGGGCTCTGGCCAGGCAGGGGCTGGGGGGGCCCCATCCCCGCTGAGCG